AGAGTTGTACGGCCGCACCTCCCAATCCTGGCGAGCAGACATGCAGGCATACGATGACGCACACACCGATAACTTGTCCCACACCCCAAAGCATATTTATTTATTTATTTATTTATTTCAAATGGCAGGCGTTTGATATTTATCATTAGCCCTTTAGCTGACTTCGGACTTCACAGGGGGGAGGAACATCAAAGTAACAGAAAATCGAGGGGTGGGGAACAGAAGAGTGATTTAAAGATGTAAAGAGACAGACATGAAGGCAGAGAAAAGGTAGGATGAGTACTGCGCCAGAAGTCAATCGCCAGTTAATAGACTTTTTTGCCGTATGAGTATACGTTGCCCAGGGTGCACCACGTGGAGGTAAGTCTATCACGCACCCCGCCCCGAAGCATATTCCACTACTAATTTGCTGTTATATAAGATTAATTTATTAATTTCTCACAACGTAAGTGATTAATGGCCTGAATAATTACATAGGATTAAATAAATATAAGGCTTTTTGAGGCAAGTATTTCCCAATTCTCAGCTTGGACAGCGACTCAGCCCCTTGATGTTCCCATAAATGAAAGTCGTATTTTGTTGATTCGTCCTTAGACAGTTAAGAGGCAAGGTCATACATATCTGATGGTTTTTGCTAATTCTCCCCTTCTCTTTTTGTTCTCAGTGTTTTTTATTTCTTCATTACTTTCTCCAACTGCTGCTCAAAATATTCATAACCACGCCCGACTATTAAGTTCTTGAAATTGGAATTGGGATTATTGTTTATTAGCTTTACAATAACTCCTACATGTTCCACTTCCAGCAGTAGTGTTGAAGAAATAGTAAATTCCATAAGTCTCGCTTGATGTATGCGAATGTTTGGCAGCTATGACATCAACCGTTTCAATCACTTCACCTGGCTCATACCTCAACATACCCAGGTGCAGTCTACACTCCGGAAGGACTCCAACTCTCACAGGTCAAATGCCACAATTCGTTTTAATTTTGTTGTCCTCTCCCTTAATATAACGCAGGCTCTGGTTAAAAGCCTATTAAATAAAAATTAAAGGTATTAATGGCAAGCTCTGTTGCATTCACGTATTGACAAATTTAACTCCAGACACACAAAACGAATACTTGGACGATCCTGGTTGAATACAACTGCGATCATGTGAATTGTTGACATACGTCTTATCAAGCAATATTTCTAATGAATAGTAGAGAATATGCAAAGAGGGATGATATAGATAGCTAACGAACAAAGTGAATTCTGCGCATGTTGATGAAGCCATCGTATATGCTTCTCTTTTTCTGTCTAAAGGGCCATAGTTCGAATAGCTGGAACGCCTCTTAGGAGTATAGAATTCAATTCGATACTTTCCTCAGCACTACCCCATATTATTTCAGGCTGCCTACAACAATGATGCCAAAGTGCTGACATCATTCAGCTGAATAAATTAAAAATAATTGTCGAACTATTTGGCTTGCAGATAGAAGTTTCGACAATTTTTGAGAAATGCCTGACCCCCTGAAGCAGGAAAGTGAGGCAAAAGAATCATCAAAATTTTCCAATTTCAAGCCAAAAGATGGATAAGCACATAGATACAGTGTAATGGGGGTGTGCGATAGACGTACCTCCACGTGGTGCATCCTGGGGAACGTATACTCATATGGCAAAAATGTCTATTAACTGGCAATTGACTTCTGACTTCAAACTACCCTCACCCCACTGTGTCACTTTTTTCTACCTTTTTGTCTCTCTCTCTCTTTTTTACATCTTTGAAACACTCTTTTATTCTCACCCACCTCTCGACCTTTTTTCACTTTGATGTTCATTCCCCTCTGTGAAGCCTGAAGTCAACTAAATGGGTAACGATAACTATCATAACGCCAGCCATTTGATATTAATTAGATACAGTGTGCGCCCATTCATGAAAACAGGTGTTAATTGCTGAAATGTCTATGGAAACCGAATTCAAAGCCAAGCTCCAACCAAAGTGAACTCTGTAAAAATTTCCAGTTAAATATATATAATTTTTACGTTGATTTTATCATGTTATCTTGCAAAAGAGTTTGGAAATTTCACAAATTTTTTCGCAAATTTGTCATGATTTAATGTACATTTATGGTATATGATAAGACTTTAGAATGATACAAAAAGTCTCGTCACTTCTCGACCGAAATTCTGTCTACACAGAATGAGTGAAACTGGAGGTCTTCTCTACTTTATCAACAAATTCGCCATTGATTTCCAACACTGTGCGTTGTCTCGTCCGCCGAGAAACTGGTGATGGGTGACGATGACGCCGTAGATGATTCCGCAGAAGAAATTTATTATAGGATTTTCGAAGAAGAATTCGAACCTAAGCCAAAAAATTTGCGAAACGTCGTTAAGAATAATAATGGGAAAAATCTAAACTCAATAAATGCCTATTAATTGATTACTAAATGTCTATTGATTAGCATTTTTCAGAAAAAAGATTTATGTAAATTTGTAAAATATAAGTAAACAACAAATAATAAGAATAATATTTTTTAAAATAGTGGAAAGTCGTTTTTCTAGCATAATCAATTAAACTCTAAGTTATTGACTTAATAAAATAAACAGAATAAGCATTTATTCATTGCTATTAAGTTCCCTGGAGCGGAGTCACTCACCTCTTCATTCAGAAAGCAGTAGATAAGGGCGACCCAGAATCCCTGTCAAGAAAATGAAAATTAATGACAAAATTATTGCCAAAAAAGGTAGGATAAAAGCGTTTATTCGAAAAAGCTTAAACATTAAATTTAGTCAGTTATAATATTACTAGTTTGCGGACAGATGTAATTCTATACCTACGTGCTAGTTTATATTCCATTTCAATCCTATGGAATATTTCTCTACTTGAAAAAAATCAGAACTTGTTCACAAAAAACACCCACTTTCTGCAGTTATACTAATGATAAAAGAAAGCATGAACCCATTTAAAGTAATTTACCTGAGTAGCGGTTACGACTGCATTGATGTAGGAGAATATTTGTACAACTGAGGGATGGTAGGGAACGATGAAAATGACTTGAGGAATTCCCAACAGCGGTATCAACATCAGACAGGCTTTCAGCGACTTTCTGAATTGAGGGTAAATTGAGAGGACTGAATCATTCAGAACGCCTTATTCACCGGTAATTCAGGTAATTATGGCATCTTAGATAACATTATTGGGCAATAGGTAAAAAATATAACAACCGTTATGAACAAGCAAGTGGTTCGGCTGAACGTATTTCATTGAGGACCGTGCACACTTTTGAGTGCTCAATTAAATTGACCAAAATGGATAAATTTTAATTTGATCACATCGAAAAATACAAATTTGCCTGTTTTAAATTTGATTTGGCTCTACATTTATCTATAATTGAAAATCTATCGATGAAAAACCCAAAATAAATCTATTTATTCACAAGTTGCGTAGTGGTCAACGAATTGATTCTTTGAGGTAGAGGTTTGTGAACTTAAAGCAGCTCTTAACGCAACAATAGAGTTATTATTATTCGATTTGGTTAGTCTCTGATATCTATTTTGAAATGCACGAATCTTATGGTCTAACAGGGAACAAAAATTGTTCCAAAGTCAGAAGAAAGTGAGACACTCGATGAAATAAGAATGGAGAAAGCAAATTGTAGCATCGGCAGAGCAGTGGTGAATGTATTCGCTGTTCATTTTTCGTTCCTTTGTTTTACTGAAGGGATTTTATTATCAAGGCTTAAATTAATATTGATTTTAATTTGCAGCATGTAGGAGTTGTGAAATACTCTTAAAGTTTAAACTTTCTAAAATGTATTTTCGATTTTGTTTCAAAACTGGATAGTAGTCATTCATTAGTTGAGTTTAGACAAGTATTTCACTTTAATGAGATTCAATAATTTTTAAACCGAATTAAAACATGAGCTCTTTACAGATTATTCATACACGAGAAGAAATGAACCGTTATCAATGGGTATGATGATAGTGGTCCATAATTTTCATCTACCTGAAAGTTGCATAATTGACCTTTTTATTGAAATTAAAGCAACCTAGCATTATAAATGGCGAGAATGAGAATTAAGTTAAATTCTATCTTGCGTCACACCTGGAAGACAAATGAGTCGACAGATCTTATTATTGATCTTCAAATAGATTTCACAACCGCCAGCCACACTTCACATATCTCAATCCACTCTCTACTGCAAACAAGTTATCTACCACTTATCCTCTCTTCTTCCAAGATCCGATTCATCTTCCATCTCCCTCCCCATTTACACCCCTTGCACCCCAATTCTTAGAAGGAAAATAAACTGTTTTAAGAAAGGTTTGACTTGATTAAGCAAGATTCCTAGAGTAGAAACAATAATGCAATCAGTGAACTTTCAGTTGTTCTTTCACCAAGGTAATACGATTGGATGAACGATGAAAATTACAAGAACCCATTGGTTTATGAGGAATTTTCACATTCAAATATCCTGTCCTTCGTATCCACATTCCCTTCTGTCATTTAATTCCTTCAACTTAAAATAATTAAAAACAGTTTTTTGTCAAAAAGAGCGTTAAAATGTTGAGCACTTTCCTGTCTATATTAATTTCAAGTTTGAAACAACACACACTGAGTTACCACCATTTTGTTGTGATTTTACGCTTATTTCGTTTTAGATTGATTGCAATTTTATTTCATAATCAAATAAGGGTGCTGTTGAACAATGGTGACTAATTCGTTATCATAATTAATTGAAAAGAGCATAAATAGGCCACAGTTTATGATAAAAGCAATTGAAGCTATATCTTGGTTGGCATCAAAGTTGACCAAAAACCCCTGGCTATATAATTTTAATTAAAACAGGCACTATAGAAATAAAAAAATCGATGCCATCTAAATAAAATACTTAATACTTTTTATTGCTTTGAGAGTAGGAATTTAAACCTGCAAAACACGCTTGCTTATGCACTTGCCATGAAAATTAGAGGTCAGGTTACCAATTTCTATGGATGTCAAACCTCATTGATTAGGTTTGGCTAATAGTGGGGCTGCCAGAATTCGAAATTTGGTCAGGAAGGCTCGAAGGTGTCAGATGATAATCCAAGGTGAGGATTAAAAAACGCTAATCTAAATGGACTTACAGTGGATTATTTTTTCCAGACAAACGCCAATGGTTGTCGACAGCAGTCAGAATTCAAAGGGGAACTTCATGAAGACACCCTACAGCTCGACTACAAGTGCTACTATTCAATGAAGGTGCACAGCTTCCTTACTATTACAGTTTATGTAATTAGGTTGCTTTCCAGCCAATCCCCAATGTTACTCCAACTTGACTTGCCGCCATAACGTGAGCATTATATCAACACTCTAAAGATTATGGTAGGTTATAATAAGAAGAAATAACTATACACCTTGTCGGCCACGATTGTGAGGAAGTACTTGTGGAGCACACAATGCTGTAACAGCTGAACAAGTAATCCCATGAGCATAAAGACAGACTTGAAAGTGCGATCTTACAACTTTGCGTAGGGAGTAAGTGAGGTCTTGAAAGCGGAGTGCATCCAGCCAATCGTCTATCAATAGCCCTCGCTTGGTTAATCAAATCAGCCTTATTGGTATAATGAATAACCCCCCTTGTCTACGCACACCACTCACGCTCTTCCTAAATAAACGTGTTCCACGTGATACATCAGTATCCTCCACAGGTTTGTCAATTCTGGAAACCTTTCTCAAACATAGAAGAATCTGCCACAGAGATTTCTGAGTATAGTCAAGGCTTATTGGTGCGACAATCCGCCGCAAGTTTCAGAGTTTTGTTCAGAAATAATAAGGAATTAAAAATTAGTCCGAAATTTGATATTTGATTGAGCCACTTGCATCATCCAAAGATTTCGACTTTAAAGTAAATAATCATAAATCCACTTTCTAGCTGTTGCTGATACAATATAATTTTATCATATACGCAAAATTAGAGATTTTAATGTGGAATTTAATATGGACCGTTTCTCGCGATGAAGAAGTGATTAACAAAAGCTGTGATTTATAATAAAATATTTTACTGTTCACCTCATTCGAAGCATCAAACGCATTTACCAGCAAAACTGATCGGACGTTGCTTAATTGGAACAAATGCTATAGAAATTATCAGCTAGTACTTACAATAAAAGTACCATTAATAGAGATAACAAATTTAAGAAAATAAATTCCACAATTGCAGAAGTTATGTTTTGCTAAAAAATCTCCAAGTGTTTTTTGCATCAAATTTTTATTAGTATGCAGGCGGTACGCCAATTCCGTTAATTTAAAGCTTATTCTTAATGAGGCATGGACACCAGCCTAACAGTACTCCGATAGATAACATTTATGACATGGTAACGTTTGAGTAAGTAAATCGGATTAACTCCTTTTCTGTATTGTCTCCGGGTCTAACTCAACTGATGTCAACGATCCAGCGAGGTCCTTACTCATAGCAGCAGATGTGCAATGCATGCCGAAGATAACTTTGCAAATTATATTCACTTCAAAACTTACATCGACTCGGCTCTATTGGATCGCACTGTCAGTCTGAATCGAGATCGATTTGAATTAGATAGTTGAAAAATTTTCAGCTTAAATTTTTGCTTCCTAGAATGTCCATTACTGTTGACTGCTTCAACGCTGGTCACTTCATGTCCGGTATGGGCTAACGAGGATGGAGAGTTCTTGGGAATCTTCAGGCGAAAGATTATGGCGTAGAGAATGGAGATGAGAACGAGAACATTGCACTTGACAAGAAAAATATCCAGGAGATAGAGAAATCAGATGGGATTTAGAGCATAGCTTCAATTTGCTTTGAAGAATTGATTAATATATTACACCAGGGTGCTCAACCCTTGCTGGTTTTCTAAACAATTATTCTTAAGAATACGATAGACTTACCTCCACGTGGTGCACCCTGGACAACGTACTTTCAAATGGCAGGCGTTATGATAGGTATCATGGGGTGCGCGATAGACTTACCTCCACGTGGTGCACCCTGGGCAACGTATAGCCATGTAGCAAAAAAGCCTATAAATCGAGAGTTGACATCTGACTTCAAACTATCATCACCCGACTGTATGCCATATTCGACCACCTCACTGTACCCACCTTATCTTTATATCTGTCACTCTTAAAATTGTAAATCACTCTTCTGTCCCCCCCTCACGATTTCTTGTGACTTTGATGCTCTTCCCATCTGTGAGGTTCAAAGTCGACTAAAGGGCTATCATAAAGACTGCTATCTGTTGTAAATACATATATTACACCATCCAAATTTTTTTGGTAAACTTTGAACTATTTTTTGATAGTGAATGAAATTAGCTCATATAGAGAAGAATCATCTGAATCAATTGTTGCTGAATTAAGATTATTAAATTAAAACGTATGATGAGAAGTGTTTGAATGGTAAATGTTAGTTATATTGCTTTTAGAATGCTAGCAAGTTTATTGACTCTATGATTTATTCATTATTTCCACAATCGCCTATCATAATCAAACCTCCTTTGGCAGAGTGAGTCATTCGGAAAACTGAGATCTTAAAGCTCAATATACGCAAGAATAGAATAAAAATAATTAAAACTTACAGAGAGAATACAAATAGAGGGTATTAATACTAAGTAGAAGTAATATGTCTCCGTACTTTTGGTCCAAATTCTAGAAAAAATTCATTATTTCTGATTACTTAAGAAAGCGAGATCTTACTTATCAGGCTCGTGGATGGCGTGAAGTGTTGTTAAAATCGATATAAGAATTGCAGGTATACCTAAATATTGAACGAATTTTATGGCAAGTTGAACTACTTAAATAGTGAATTAAGTAGTAGTAATTTACCCCATCCAAAAATTGCGTAATGCCATATTTTGACGTTGTGTATTCCGTAGGTCCAATAGACTATTTTTAGCAGATACGCCCCCTCGATAAGCATCCAGCACACCATGGCCAAACTGGCGAGCATCTGAATTGAAGTTATTGCGTTGTAAAAGTACTAAAAGAGAAGGGATTAACATTTTAATGAATTTATTAAAATTGATACTCGAAGTCTTCTAGTCCTGCATGAAACTCTTTAATCTTGTGCCAAAACTGATAGCAATGTTTTCAGTGGATAATGTATACCTAAAATACTTAATAAATTGGGCCATTTACTCCTCTTTAATTTCTCTGCGGATTTCAAGGATTATCCAGTAACTGGATTTCTATAAAAATGTTAACATTCGCTAATGGAACTACGACTTAACTGTAGGTGTTAGATACTACTTATTGATAAGGCAAATAAATACGACGGTCATAAGGCCCTTAATATACATACAAGATGGCATAGGAAAACAAGAAGAAAAGCGAGAAAGTGGAGGAGATAGGGACCATCTAATCGCTTCACCGCAAAACTTCCACAGTAAATCAGTGAGAGAGTAAGGGCTGCATGTGGCCAGCCATGGCAACTGACCATACTAAACTTCTATTGTTTGGCTTACACGTTGATCCACTCTGTGTGTCGGTATGTATAATTTAATTTAATCCCACTTCTAAGTCGGAGAAGGATCATGACACAATTCGTTAGTCTCAGATTGCAGGAGATTTCGTAAACAATAATTTATCTTCAGTGATCAGATGGAATGTAAAGAATAATCATTTTACTTGTTAATCGAAAGATCAAAATACCCCTGGAAGGCCCGTTAAGAAAAGTTAATCGTGGGAGCAGCACATCTCAAAAAATTAATTACTCCATGTTTTTGAACTTTGGTCATTGGCCTCCTTTTGCGTATATCCTATTTTGCTCAAACTTTCGATAAATAATTCTCTGTTGAAATAAACTTTATCTCTCCAAGAATTTAATTCTTTTTCATAGAAGTAACAGACGAATATATAAGCGATTAAAAAAAATTTCACATAACTAAGATTGAGTAAGGATAATTGAGTAAATTTAATTCTAAAATCGCTAAAAGGGTGGTTGTAAAGCCACCTTAGTTTATTTACCGAGTCAGTAATGTAAATGCATACAATAATTGGTTCACGTGTCATTAATCCGTAATGAGATGTCGCTGTTGAGTTTGGGTCATAAACTTTGCATCGAGCAGACGCGAGTTATTTGCGTTTTATTGGCTCACAAGTCTTAGGAGGAAAGGAAGCTGCCGCAGATTTTATCATTAATACATTGTCAATAAAAATACCTGAGAGGTGACTGAACTAGTGCACCCTACTGATCCTCATAACTATTTCCAAACCGTTTATCAACTTAAATCACATCATTATTAAATTAGTTTTCTCATCGGGGACTCTTTAGAAACAAGTGCTACAATCACAACACTTGTATTGCCCGGGGGTAGTTTATTGATTGACTCAGATAATTTGCCTGTTGATTAAAACATGTTGGTATAAAGGCGCTCGATTGAAAAGCCTGATTTATATGCTCTCCCCATCTCTTTTTCTCATTCTTCCCTCTTCTCTCCTCTCCAATTATCTTCTTTCTTCCCATTCTTCGAACGGGACTACGTACCCTAGCCTGCTATCAATTTTTGGCAACTTGATTTGGGAACTGTGATCATCAGTTGTTAGACATAGCTGGTGCCTTTACGAGTTTGAGATCAATGATCTGAGAACCGAATGAGGTGGGTCCCTCATTCATCTGGCTATTTTTGGCCTGCTTTTTACTAGTGAAAGCCATTTATTGGACTTAATCGGCAAATTTTGGTGTCTTGATATCTAATATGTTTATTTCGTAAGTTTTATGCAATCTCATAAGGTGAAATATTCTTTCATTCATCAATAAAATCGCTTGCCAAGAATTTGTCAATAGATTTTATTACCTTCGAAATAGTGGATCCCATAAAATGGTCATAATTAGTATGATAAACGTGAAAGCGCATAGAATTTTCTAGGTTTCGACTACCTTGGTACTAATCACAAATGATTCCTCAAAGTCAATGATATTTTTAACTAAATCCATTTAACTAACATTGAGATAAAGTGCGGTTAGATGTATTCGTAAAAGCAAGTCTCTTCTATACTCTGGAATTGCTAGTAGGTCTCTATGATATGTATCTCCACTAGATATCATTAGACTATACCATTGTTCTTCTGCTCTTTATTAACTAAACAAAGGCCTTATAAATGACTATATGACATTTTCCTGTTAGTAATACTTGAAGCTCAAAATAAGGGAGGGAATAATACCTGTCAAATTGTCTGGAGCTTTGCTTGCCCACCTATCGATTAGTAAAACGGATGATATAGGGATAATTAGTGGAATCGAATTTTCCGAAACAAAAAATGCTTTTTTGAGTCGTCATGCCAAGTGTTATATAATAAGAAAGCAGATCATTGAACCAAGAATTTCCTTTTGTTTCGAGATAAATGCTTGTTGACGTAGGAATTAAACTCTGCAAATACTTCCAAACACCGGTTATTCCAGACGTAGAGCTCAGAATGCTTTTAAAAAACACGGAGTTACTGCTCGAGTTAAAAGAGAAAAAAATCGTGCTTCTGGGTCTGAACTAAACAAACCGCCCACTTAAAAGTAACTTGTTCTTTTCTAAAGAAGGGGTAGTTAATGAACCGTTCTCATCAAATTTATCTTTGAAAACACTTCTCTCAAAATTTCTCTTCTTCTTTAAATACTCTTAACGTTTCTTTTCTGCTGAGACATTATTTCTTTAAGGCCGTATTCAACCTCAGCCTGCGTCTTCCTTTCAGTGATAAGCCAATTGGTGATTTAAAAAATTTTATTTTGGGCTGTGTGGAAGTTTCTGAGGACATCTATTAGCATTCCATTCGCTGTTATCCCCTCGTTTGAGAGTTAGACTTCAAATATTCATATTTTTGGGCAAGATAATTACCTTTGGAAGCCCAGACATTAACTCAGTATTCATACTTGGTTACAAAGGAATATTTTCATCCTCTTTCTAATTCCTTTTAAGAATTTTTTGGCATTTTTTTCTCATCATATCCGTCATCGAGGTGGATTTCAATTGTATCGACTTTCGATTTAGATCAGCACTTTGTGCGATTTTGGGGTAAAGAATCGAGCAAAGCCAGCTTTATGGTAAGTAAGATTTCTACAAATAGAGAGATAGGAAACATCTGGGAAGCATAAAGGCGTTCACCTAATGACTGCAGAGACACTATACAATCAAATTTAATGTCCATATTTACACATTTATTAGATAGGGTCAGGAATTGGATTTTATCATTTTCTGTAGTATTTCTAAGGCTTAGGAACAAATATCAAATTGACGAAGTTCTCGAAGATCACTCAATAATGCTAGACATTATAAATATGTCAGAAAAAACATAAAAGTAAAAGAGTCATCAAAAGGGCTAAGGCTGATCACTAAGCCTTCTTTGCAACTTTTGAGTGGAACAGACTTCTAGAAAATCTTCCACTTCTGAAGTTATTTCACATAAATAGATCAGACAAACTTGAGACACTTTGATAAAAAGTTAGATCTGAGATTGTAATTGGAAGGAAAAGTCTCTAACCACATTAACGCGGTAAAAATTTCCTAAGTTAATTTATTGCAAATCCGATCATCTTTAGCTCTATATTGAAACAAGCTGAGTTGCAGTCTGTTTGCGTGGGAAATACTTGAAATATCAATTTCCGTAAACATCTTTTTGACAGACATTTCTACCAATAGGATCTGAATTTCTGCCTGTTTTTCTGCGTCATTTAGTAAAATTTACTGATTTTCGGGTATGTCAGAATAAACTCATTTAGTTTCTGCAGCTTTAACAGTTTAAGATCTGAACCTTCCACATTTAAAGACCACTTCGGTGTAATATTAAAATTTTAGTTCTACATCAAAGTGAATACTGCTTACGAACTACGAGCACGATACTTCAGTTTTCAAGTTGGAGAATAAAGAAAAATGACGTAAAAAGGCCTGTTTGTCATGGAACAAAATTAACAAATGACTTTGAAATGTACTAGCAAACCACTAATAGAGATATGAGGGAAACACGGCAGACATAATTAGTAAAATACCACTTTCTCAAGTGACAATACGAGAAGGACTTTTTTCACCTTGTCAGGAGGAAAATCATATATGAGCAATTATTTAAGAAAATGGTTTTGAATTCCTTCTGAGTCAACAGAGTTGTGAATTTGCAGTAAAAACATTTTGAAGAGTAAGTGTGAAAACGATTTTCCAATTCAAATTTGATTAGATGGCGATAAAAGAGGAATTTACTGGCAGGAAGAGGAAATAAACGGTTTTTAGAAAAATGCAAAGAATGCCGCATCTGGGAATAAATTATTGGAGGGTTTATAAAGGATGTGACTAATTGGAAGAATTCTAATTAATGTGGCTAAAATGTAAGGCGCAGGCAGTGAATGAATAATCAATAAGGTTGCATAAATCGAAACATTTATCCAAAAGGATTATAGTGATAATTGCATATTTCCATTTGGGTTTTTAGTTGCGAATGTTTTGCTATATTAATAGAGTTTATAATAAGAGATGATTAACCATTCTGGTCGACTTTAGATTGCTACATGCAAAATTGACTTCTGTTTCTCAATAGGCTTTGCAATTATCTGAGGGCTTAAGGATTCTTTTTTGTGAAATTGAGATTGAAATATCACCTATTTCTCATACAAATACTGCCACCGTTACTGTTAATTTTATCAAACTATTTGCCTCTCACGGGTTGTTCTATTATCTCCTATGGGGATTTAAGTGTGAAGCAAATATTAAAATAATCGGCTCAATTCATAACCGATGTTACTCTGCTCAAACAACAATCAGTCCAGACTTTCTGTCTGTGTGCTCATCACAGACATCAGATATGAGCAGTTAATGAGATTGGAGTTACTTTAACGCCCGTTTAGCCCTCTTAGCGATGGGCACTAGTAGATGCAAGCATCCCGAATAACTCTTTCCTTGTAAATCGGTGTCCGCAGGATTCACCTTTGTCTTCTTAAACGAAACTTCATCAGTCTCACACGGACCTCAGTCTTGCCCAAATTATTTACGTTTTCTCATTTTATCATGAAAGATTTGTATTAAAAATGGCCTCAAGTTAAAACCATCAAGCCCTCTTCAACTGGATTGAAACACTTTTATCGGGCTTTAAGTATCTCATTTTCATTCACCTTCAAATTTTACAAAGGAAAAGAATTTAGGTACGGGCGGCGCCTCATGTTTATTATCAAATGTTGATGCAGTACCACAAACACCTCTATTCTTACCAACAAAAAATTGATGTAACTGAGATCTATACGAACACATAGAGCCTCTATCTTTCATGGAATCAAGGAACTTTGGAGCCACGGTATAGTCATAGGTCTGATTGCTACTTTGGATGCTTCTGAAGACCTCGAAAAATTATTCAGAGTGGATCAGACTCTCAAGTATATGGAGAGTGTTCTAAATAGCTACAACTTCAGAACTGAATGCTACACACACAAATAAATCAAAATTTCTAAATTCTCTCCATTATTTTCATCCACGATTCGTATTTCAAACATTTTTTAACAACTCTGAAAGCTTGCAAATAATTATTTTTATAATCTATGTACGCCTCAAATTGTTACTTACATTTTTTTTCAATTTCTGGTTAAAAATAAATTATTTTAACCAATAAAAACCATCTTTGGTCTTAATGAATTGGATGATTTTATTAGGCGAAAAATTAAGTCAACAATTTGTTTTTAATTCTTCACTACTTTTGCGTATTTGTTTAAATGCAAAAAGAATAACAGGAACCAAGAGGGTTGAAAGTGGTTATCTATTTACATAGGATAGTTCCAGTCCAATTGATATTTTTGGCATCCAAGGTGATTTAGCTAAGTTGCTGTGAATTCTCGTAAGTGATCTAATTAGAAACCCACAGGGACCCGGTTCTTCTGGCATCATTTGCAATCAAATTGAAAATGTGGATATCTTTATCAAAAGCACTCCGGAAAATATATAATTAATGGTAATGATATGTGGGGTGGGGTTGGGTGTGAGGGGCTGCCGATCGATGTTATTTGAGTTGAATGTAACTTGATAACCAAGTTGGAACCTGCTTAGCGTTCTCCTATGCATAAAGAAAATAATACAATTCAGCATTCACAGTTTTCTCGCTGCGACCAAGATATTCTATAGGTTGGATAATACGGCTGTGAGGTTTGCCAATGTGAACTTGCGTAATATAAAGAAGTCGAAATGATTTATTTCAACGAGAATCGATATCCAGTAAAGCGGTTTAATTATGGATCCCAACTATCTTTCTTCCATAAAACTTTGCTATATTTCTTGGAAGATGTGTGTGTGTGTGTGAACATGTAGAGACATTTCATACAATAGAGGAATACAAACAGATCTTCGAAATTGAGGCAACCAATAAATTAGCCTAATTGTGTGATGAAAATTACCTTCCTGTAAATATAATAAGCTCAAAACTTTGAAAATATGTTTTTATAGCATAAAAGTAATGTAATTGACTTGTTCAGGCAAACTCAGACAACAAATGCGGGCATTAAATAAGCCAAAGAGTGAGTTATGAGTTTGTTGGGTGTTCTATGACCTTCTAAAATCAGCGGGCAAAACACGCGTTTCCAAATGAAGAAAATAAACGTCTGCCAGACAGTTTTAAGGCGTAAGTATAAAATTAAATTAATTTATATTGTTTTTTTTGCGCAATTCAAGTCTGGCAACTTTAATTAAAATGAATTCGACC